GTTAGAGGACCAAGTCCTTTTGGTGGTATTAGTTAGAGGACCAAGTCCTTTTGGTGGTATTAGTAAGAGGACCAAGTTCTTTTGGTGGTATTGTCAGAGGACGAATGGGATCTTTACTTTTTTTAATATTCAAATTCACCATTACCCACAATGTTGATCAATGATGTGGCTCTGCTCGTAAGTAACTAAATATTTTGTATTATTAACCTGACAGGCCATACACGACTATATGTTCTCGGGAGAAATCATTCAGAACTCATTGGAAGGTGCCATCTCCAATATCACAGAATGGCTGGTCTTCAGCTAAAATATAAATCGTACACGGAAAAACACTGTGGAAAGGGGGAATGAGAGAGAGGGATGGAAAACGCCAAACGAAGTGCATACCGAGTTCAGAAGCCTAATGTATCACCTGACACGATCTAAACAATTGAAGGTAAAGAATTAATCGTGGATTGTCTTTGTTGTTTGTTTGTTTGTATGTATGTATGTGTGTATATAGGATGGTTTAAGAGAGCTATTAAGCATGACGGTCTTACCATCAGGACAGACGATTTTCCCACTGCATTTGTGATAAATCATGCCATCCGCGTCAAAAACGAAGTTCATGTAATCGGCAGAGCAATTCACATCGACTCTTCTAAAAACTAGGGCGTGGCTCCACGAGGTTGTGTTTTCTTTAGGGTCGCAGTCACCGCTCTTGGGCTGAACGCAATATCCACCGTAGCTCCGAATAGGACTTTCTATGAAGAGTAAAGGAATACACAAATAAACGAGGACTAGTTGTGGATTATCGAAGAAAAATACCTAACATCTAGATTTTAGTAAAAATAATATGCATCTCAGTTGAATAATTATGAAGAAGTGTATATAACAATGCAAGAAATCTGGTTATTCGGTTTTCCCTTGCCTAAAAATCTCAGACAAGTTCAATTCGAGCTGTGAGTTAGTCATACCCTTATTTTGATTAGTAGAGAGGTTGTTTCAAGGTATTGATAAATTCGAAGAAAATTACCTGGGCACGTGTAACAAGGTTTTTCCTCCACTGTCTTCTTCGATGCACTGCACTGAAGACCTCCGCATCTGGGTTCGGGGTTGGTACAAGTCCTACGGCGAACTTGTTTGCCATCTGCACAAAGTTTGTCACATTTCTCCCAAGCTCCCCATTCGGAAAGGCCACCATCAACTATAACAAAAGTATAAATTTCATACTCTATTAATTGTTGGACGTATTAGTCTTATGTTTTATGGGAATAATTGGGCCCAACCGTATTTCTTTTTTCGTAGCTACTATGTCATCGTCTTGTAAGTAAGTAAGTGGACATACTTTCAGATAATACAGTATCGACGTGTTATCGATCGAAACGTTCGACGTAGAAATTTCTCAAAAAAAACAACAACAACAAAAAAAACAAAAAACAAAAACAAAAAAACAAAAACAAAAAAAAATCAAACATGTGCACAAATGTGCTCAAATTTCTCCTCGACGAACAGAACTAATAAAGGTGCGTGCTGGCATTAATTGTCACCTTCCTAATTATATCCCAATCAATGAATTGACTCACATAAATTTATTAATCTCGTTGGTTCATGATAAATAATGATGGTTCTAATGTAAATATTATTAATGATGATCTAAATACTAAAATCGTTTTTCCATTTCCTAAAAAAATGTATAACAAATTTTAACGAACCCGATGAAGAAAATGAAATTCATTTTCTGATGAAAGAACAAAAGGCGTATTAACACAAACGAAATATCAACATTACCAGGCTGTCTGTCCAAGTCACAGTCATCTTCATTAACCCAATACCAAATGACCCCAGGATTCATCATGCCTCCGTCACGTATCCACTCTGCTGGGTGTCTATCCGTGCCACCCCAAATAATGGACCCAGCTGGGTAATAGGTGGTGCTGCTAGAAGTTGTCAGAAGGGCCTTGTTGGATTGCCCGTTGGCATCAAACCATGGCATCCTATTCTGCACTGTTCTCCACCAGGATAATGTCCATGCATCGAATTTCTGAAGTAGGGTTACTTGTGTTTGTGAAGTAGAGGTGAACATAAAGCTGTTGACGAGTGGAAAGTAGTAGACATACTCGCTTTTATGTAAAAGACAATTAGACATTTTGGGGATCTATTGCGCACTCTCACTGGTTGTTTGGAGGTCACGTCGAAGTAATTGAAATTAAAATAACTGCCTGAATTGCAGTTTTTTAAATTATTGTCCGCACAGAAAACCATTTCAAAAACAGCTACTAGGTTATGTTCATGGTTCCATCAAATAACGGCATTTTAAGGAAAAAAACAATCAGTCAAAGAAATAAAAAGCCAAAGAATATGTCGATAGAAAGGATATAGTTTGCCCACCTGTAGTCACGTGGTGCACTCCACACTCCTCCCCAGTGTCCGCGCTGGTTTGCATCTAATTTGTACTTGAATGTGGTGTTATGTCCCAAGTTTTTGATCAGGTCTGCGTACTTTAGGATTGAGTAATCATCTGAGGTTGATGGTCGGTATACGTTTCTGCATAAAGAAGCGACTTTTCAATAAAAACAAGCAAACTGGAAACGATTTGAACCTTGTTTAAACTTAACTACATGGCCCCATTAAATGTCAATTTTCTTCACATCCAAAAGTGGCGGATAAAACTATCAATTATTGTAGCATCTCTCTCTGGCTTCTACCCTTCTGCTTTCATGTAAATCAATTTAATAATCTACCAAAATATTTTCGGTCAGTTTGGCCAGTGTAGGGAGGATATGGACAATCCCAAAACAGCAGAGAATACATCTATAATTAAACTCGAAAGTATAAGAGAGTTGTGAATAAATGTTGTGTTCCAGAAATGCACTTTGTCGAGTAAGAAATTCTAGTGTAGCTCACCTGGCTGGTACTTGGTCACGTGTCCAGCTGTTATGGCGACTTGTAACCACCAAAGTAAATGCACCAAGATCTGACGTCATGTCACAGAATACAGGAAAGTACGTGGAGTCGTTGACAAGACGTATCATGTAATAATCATCTTCATACTTTCTTGACAATCTCGTGCCATGGACCTTGATATCATTGCAAGAACGTCTAGGGAAGAAAGGTGCATTATTAGATTATCACTGTAAGTATGTGCATCAGTGATGCCCTTTTCATGAGCCAAAATACTTTCTGTATTTAACAAATATACATCAGTTTTTTATGTGTCTGTCCTCTTATTGACGATAAATTGCGTCATCACATTGTCAAAGTAGTGTGGATCCACGAGGCGTAGCCGAAAGAGCGCGCGCTCGTTGACGTCAACTTTATCTGTGTGTCCTCTTATTGATGATAAAAAATAACCAATCAGCGCGCGAGAAATTTGTAAGTTATTGTAAAATTTTGAATTGAAAAAAGGTTCCTTCTCCAAAAGAAACTTTAAAACAAAGTATCAAGATGATTTTTTGCTGTGTTGCCTTTATTCTTCTCGCAAATAACACAATTACAGAAGTGACAACGATAGCGAGACAGGAAACAAAAAGCAGCAATAACTCACTTCTTTCAAAGAGAACAATTTCTTCAGCATCTAGCACCTTGTTCCTTCTCTTAGCGATTGTCATTATATGACTATGCTCTTGGATAACAACAAAAAACAACGACGACAACAACAAATACTTCAAAAGCATCAATAACCGGCACACTATCTAATGAGATTTACGACTCCATGGTGAACGGTGGAACCCCTAACACTTCTTACAACCCATCGCACTTGATTAATGAACGCTTTTCTTTTAACTAATCCACTCTTTTGTCTTTTGAATGTTTCTTTCATTCCCTTGCCCACCTTGTTCTCATTGGTTTCTTTTGTCGTGTTCTTAGTATATAATCACTCCTTTCTACCACCTCCTTCTCTTTTACTCCGACGAAGGACTAGCGTTCGTTTTTCATCTTTTCACGGTGTCAAATTTACCCTTTTATCATTACCATTGCACTTGATAAGGCAGCCGATAGATAGAATTAGAAATAAAAAAACGTATTCATTATTAGGCAACCATACCTTGTTCCTTCCCTCATCCAATATCTGACAACTCCAGGGTTTGGCTTTACGTCTGGTAAATATGATGGTGATTCTGCTGATCCATCGGCGTAAATAATGGACCCAGATGGGTCATTTGCAATTGAGCCTGAACTCAAGAAGATGTTGGCTGACAGCGCGAGTCTTGGCATTCGTCTCACTAGATTTGTATTTTTGTCAATGCCATTGAAATTCTCGACCATTTTAACATTTGTTTGCTTGTCACAAGTTGAGATAAATGTGTACTCCCTTGGTGCAACGAAGATGCCACCATACTGGCTGGAGCCATCAGCTTCGATACGATACTGAAAGGAATCCTTAGAAAAAAATAAAAATGATTAGTTCGTGGTCTCATTTTCATCACGAAGCTGGGGAACGTTATGACACAGCTAGAGTATTATGCGCGCTCTGACTGGCTAATCTGCAACGTATGTGAGGGTGCCGTAACTTGAGTACTGCACTATGACGTGATTGAAAAGCGCACACTATGTATTAAATATTTTCTTAGAATGAAAGTAGAARAATATTTCAATGATCAAAGAGGTTCTTTGGATTTACTATGTTTTAATGTTATAACTTGAAAAAACCTCTGGGCTGATCAAAAACGGGGTACGGCTAACTCACAGATCGAACTCTGAAACAACGTCTGGGCTGATCAAAGCCATTGTACGCTTAACTCATCGATGACACTGAATTTTAGCAAAAAAAATGGACAGCAAGCAGCACGTATACATTGAGCTATGGATTCACTTGGTTGACTTTTAGGGGTCTGCGTGGCATTCCTTACAGGCCGCTAAGAAGTACGACTTACTTGAGAGACATCGAAATCCTTGATGGCATCTGCAAACTCAAGGATAGAGTAATCAGCGTCTAGTGACGGTTGGTTGGAATTTCTGTTTTTCACATTGTCCACTGACCATCCTGTGTGTGTTTTACTCGTTACTAGTAATGTCCATCCACCACCTTGACTTGTCAGGTCACAGTAGGTCTTCACTTCTTTCTTACCAGGAGGCTTGATTGAGTAAACTCCATCTAATGAAAAGTTAATTAGTTTATAGTCATAACCGCTTTTTAATCAACACCACCAAATTTTATATTGATGCCTTGAAAGAACCTCAAAGCGGATCAAGTCAGGGCGAATTAGGTTTTGCGGATGGAGGAAAAGAGGAGATACGGAGAAAGACCGTTGAAACTCTACTTGCATGCGATCTCGAGACCAGGATGTATCGTCGAACTTAAGACCCAAGAGGCGAGAGGCGAGAGGCCAATGATTCCTCGAAATCAAATAAACGAGCACTTTGAGGTTTATTATGATTTCGGGCAATAGACCTCTTTAGCTAGAGAAAGAAACTATACTCAAGAGAATGGCACGTGGTTTGAAATGCACAAAACATTACGCCCGAAGAGGTCTATTTGCCATTAGATGACATTGTTCTTCCAATTATTACCTTTTTGCGGAGTCGTTTGTAGACCTCTCATCTGTACTTCCATACAAGATCTTGGTAACTCCCATGGTCCTTCACGCACCCAGTACCAAATATATTCGGGCTGTTGTTCCATCAAATGTCCCCTGATCCATGGTGCAGGATGGTAGTTTTTTTCATTCCCTAGTAAAAAAAATGGCCAAATCTTATGCACTTTTTCTACTGTGAGAGAGCTTTCGCTCTTAGTCGTAACAAAATCGTGCATTACACGAAGTACAAAATCTCTCTACAATGGCAATAATGAAAATTTGTTGCGCGCGGTGTGATAATACGAGTAAAATTTGCTCTGCAACTTGAAATGCAACATTGTTGATGCGTGACAAGTTGCACGATATTGTCCGTATTATCGCACCTTGAAAGAAGGGCTTTCTCGGCTTTTTAGGAACAACAATTCTTTTTAAGGAAGATATTTCCGAAAGCAGTTATGTTAGGTGTACATACCCGTTATTGTACCCCACCAATTCGAATTAGCATCCGCAGATGTAGTCAGCTTTGCTCCTGAGATCCAAGGCATTCGTTTCTCTATTCCATTATTGGCATAATTCCAGTTATCAAATTTCTTTATCAGTTGGACATTTGTTTGTCCATTAGTAGCTGCCGTGAAGGTGTAGGATCGATCAGCTTCCCATATTCCACCCCATCGTCCTAAAAGATTCAAAAACAACTCAGTTAATGACTTGACCATTTATGTTCATATAATAAACCATTTTAGGGCAAAATGTCAGATCATAGGTAATTTTCTTGAGAATATGTATATATTTATACTTCGCTTGTCATGTACAAAAATTTCAATGCAAGGCTTTAATAGATAATTACTGAGGCACGCAGCATTCGTAGATATAATGCAGGCAGCTGAAGGCGTAGCCCGAAGCTGCCTGCATTATACCTACGAATGCTGCGTGCCTCAGTAATTATCTAGTATAACTGTTGTTCTTATCAAAATCCAATTGTTTTCTTTCTAGCTTGTTTATCATAGAAACAAAGCCAATAATGAATGAACTAAATATGTCTGATTTTCCTCTATGCATTCGTTGGGATAATGCAGACTGAAAACAATGGATTTTGATAAGATCAGTAATTATTCGTGCATAATGCTCAATGATTTGTGAAAGAAGAAAAGAATAAATTTAAATTTGCACGTAGCCTCGTACTATAAAAACTTTGTGTGTGTCAAGCGAGGCACAATTGTAATTGTTGCTTGTAATTCACATCATCACACAATTGTCGAAATTTCTATATAGCAAATCCTTCATCGTCTCATGTATACTAGCTCTGACTATATTCTGGCCAATCACAGGACATGATTCTTTATATATTTTAAACATATTTTAGGCCCGATCCATACGTCGCGCATTTCATGTGCCGAACCTAATAGTATCTATTTGGCACATGAAAGGCTCGACGTATGAATCAATTAAGTTCGGCACGACTGGATTAGGTTCGACACGGTACTGAGCTCTACCACGCCAGTCGAGCTGCACGGCAAAAGTTCAACACTGATTCAAACGTCGAGCTCCTGTTGTGCCGAATCAAATGCATACATTAAAAATAGGTGAGCCCCGACCTAAAAAGCAGCGGTATTTGGTAATGAGTATGTGCGATACGGTTTTTTTTWAAATCTTCTGTTGGTGTACTGAGTCCAAACCGTCTCCCACCACCCGGCATTTCTTGAGAGGTGGCGACACGATCTCGCAACGATCCCCGAAGTGTAAACACCATTTTGTAAGGAAAGAAGCAACAGCATTACAGCGAAACTAGCTATATGTCTCCTTCTGCTAACAAGTAACAGCATAGACTGCATGATATTTTGCCTTCTTGCCCTTGCATATCGAATAGCACGGAGAAAAAGTAGTCTTTTTGATCGTCCGCCATGTTTGTTTTGATTTGAATTGTTTCAATTTACCGTAATTCCGCTGACTGATTTTACTGCTTACTCATGCTCAGAGTATTTGGCTCAACACATTAGGTGCGACGTATGAATCAGAAGAGATGATGCAACTAACCTCTGCTTTGCGCTTCTAAGCGATACTCAAATTTTGAACCAACGACATTTAAATTGTTCTTGATATCATCAGCATAGTTTAGGATTGAATAATCGCTTGTCAAAGATGGAGAATCTTGGTTCCTTAGTCTCACATTTTGGGACGTCCAACTATTGGTGTGGCTTGTGACCAATAGCGTCCATCCACCACCATCACGTGACATGTCACAGTAGGTTTTGATTGGATCTTTATCAACGCCATAGGGGTAAATCGCGTATACTCCGTCAGGAATATACTTGTTTTCTGTCGTTGCAATTTTCTGGAGTTGACGACAAGAATGAGCACCTGAAACAGTTTGAAAACTCTTTGTTAACAAGTTGGTTCTTCTTTAATTATRTGGAAAATACGATAGCCTTTTTGAAAGAAAAGAATTATTCTCTTTCCATGAAGTGTAGGACTTCCTAGGACGTCTCTACTGCTACGAAAAGCTAACGCCCAAAATGTCAGTTATGAGTATGCCGTTTCTCTGTTGCTCAGGGTTAGCCTCGATTTTGTGTAGAATATTCATGTGTTCGAGTGAAACTCCGTGGAATTTCAAAGTGTTTGTATTGTTGTGCGTTTTTTAATTCTCCGATGGTATTTGTAAATATTTAGACACTGATTAGAGACTAACCCTGAGTAAATAGTCTGTAATCAAGGAACACAGCGGTAATTTGGAACTCGAAAATGATTTATTCTCATAAGGCTAACTTTGGAAATTGAACTTATGAGAGAAACTAGTGATATAACAAGGACTAATTGAAGGGAAAAAGTAGCAAGAACTTACGTGGACAAGCATCCGTGTTGCAATCACGCTGTTGCTGTCTTTCTCCTTGACAATCTTTGCCGCCGTGCGTTGGGAATGGATTATTACAGAATCGATGTCGATTTTGTGTGCCTCCGTTACACCCTGCAGTGCACGTGGACCAAGCAGACCACGCGCCATACCCACCATCACGTGGTATCAGAGCTTTTCAGAGGAAAAAAATGAAGTGAAATCAGATTTAAGAGAGCATTTTGGAAATTTTAAATTCCAAAGTTTGATTAGCGCAATTTAAATTTGATTTTAAGAGGCGTCTTTTAATGTTTATTTTATTCCTTCAGTTTATTAGGTTCACATTGATATATTCCGTTACCATTGACGCATGCTGAAGCGGGATCATATCCAGCATCACAATGACATACGCCTGTGTTTGTACACACCTATGAAGTAAAAAAAACTCGGTAAGTTCTTATATTTCATTCTTAGTGTAGAATAGATTTACATTTTTCGAATACTTACTCCTTGCCCATTACACTCTTTGCCATTGGTCGTGGGGCAAGCTTTAATGTTCAGCTCTGCGAACGACTTGCACTCGTAGTTGCTACACATCTACAAAATAAAATGATACTTAGTGACGAAAAAAAAGTCTAAAAGTCTCTTAGAGGTAGAGAGCCGCATGCTTTACTTGGCCTATCCATTGACTTACTAGCAACCTTCTGATATAGACCCCTTGCATGTGACGTCAAAACAGCTCAATTTGGAGTACGAAACCAAAATATTTCATTCTGAAGAGAATTGGAAACCTATTGTTATGTCCTTCAAATTGATCAGTATTCCGACGTGCTTCAAGGGGTCTWTTCCTGGTTTTCAATCACTCCCAAGAGAATGTAATTACAAAAGACACGGCGGCCATGTTGGATGATATAACAAAAGAGACTAATGACGAATCTCTTGTTGAATTCATCCAACATGGCGGCCGTGAAAACCATTAATACAGGGTTTTCTTGTCCTTACATTTTTATTACAAGCTATTTTTAGAAGGCTAAATGTTTGTAAATCATTTGTACCTTTTGGTCGCCGCACTTCGTACCATCGTTGACCATACCAAGACCAAGGAAGTCAGAGTTAGTTTTAAGAACAGCCGCACTGGAAAAATCAAAGTCAAGCTTAAAGCTTTACTCTTGACATTAATTGGTACAATAGGATTTTTTATGTACTTGCGTGACAAACTAGAGTAACGCCAATGCTTTGTAGTACCTGCATTGAGTAGAGGCATCAAGCGTGAACTTTTGGTACGTTTTTCCGTAGTCTACTACAGGGCTGTTTCTGCTTGACAAACACTGTATCTGACCACAGTGAACATCGCTGGGAAAAAAATAGTAAGATATTTTGCAGTAAAGTTTACCAGCGAATAAATGGCTGATACTAAAAACGAACATCTTTGATTTCATGAAAAGACTCGAAACGTCATCAAGGATGGTGTAGTCTTAGTACACTCGCCTCTCACCACTCGGGCCTTGGGTTCGATTCCTGGACTTGGCATCACATGTGAGTAGAGTTTGTTAGATCTCTCCCTTGATTCAAGGGTTTTCTCCGGGTTCTCCAGTTCTCCAGCATCATTAAGTAGCCATGCCCTGATTTTGGTTAGCTCAGAGGTTGTTTCGGAGTATCGGTAAAGTTAGTTTATATTTTTTGGCTTACGCATGCTCACTGAATGTCTTTATGAAATAACTGCTCGAAATTTTGCGTTCTGATTGCTTGGGAGCTCGTGCTTTATGATAGCACACAGCACGCGCGCGCACTATCAGTTTTGTCATTCATGTAATTTGTATTTTATAAAAGAAATAAAAAACTTGCTTGCTGTGCAGTGTGGAGTTATAAAGCACTTGGGGATTGGCAGAACAATCGAGAACTGTCGAGAAGCACCTAACACTTCTCCTAACACTCCTCTCGTGTTCTGTCAACCCCCGCGTGCTTTATAACTGCACACAGCACGCGCGCGCATTTTCTATTTCTTCAATTACTCACCTCGCTGCGCAGGAAGAGTTAGATACTGGATCACAAGTGCCGAAGCCTTTAGCTTCCGTGTTGAGTTTATCATAACATCCTTGATTAGCATTGTTACTGTCTTGAAATTGAATGGAATATATTCACGATACATAAATGCAACCGGGGGCATTATGGGATCATTTTGGAAGGATTTACGAATATTTTATATCATGGTTAGATTTTCTTAATGCAGTTAAGCGGAAAGTTCATTGATCGAGTTAGGACCAACCTAAGTGGAGTATCCTCATTAGATATTATTAAAGATGAAAATTAATATATTTTAATGGAGATTCCAAAAGTATTGACCTCAACTTGAAACACGTTCGTGGAGGCGTGACGAGTCCAGTTAGCAACAGTAAAAATACACCAATATTTTGCAATAGCTGTTTAGGTAATTATACGACATTCGTAAAAAATCACAATTTTGGAACGTGAAGTAATCCTGACCAAATTTGGCGCTTCCTCCACTTCACTTTCGGAGATGATATCTAGTTATCACCTTCATCTTTATGAACAATTTTATATTTTCTATGGTTAATTATGCTGTTTAGAAAATAGTTACTTGCTTACCAATTGTCCCTTTTCTCATTCGGTAAATACCGCTGTGTTTTAAGACTGAAGACTAATCTGCACAGGCTTAGCCTCGCTTAAGAGCAAATCATTTGCAAAAGTCAACAAGGATGTAAAGAATTTGCAGCTTAAACAATACCAATGTTTTGAAATCCCACGGACTTTTTATGGTATCTGTGAGTAGCTGACTTATAGACGAGGCTAAGCCTGTACAAATGAGTCTGTGGTCTTCAGAGACAGCGGTACGCTTCGAATGCGAAACTGGTGTATTTTTTGTAAAAACATGTCGTAATGAACGGTCATAAATGGGGTTTCTACTTACCAGGCCCCCATAGATCTCTACACTGAGTGTCTCTAGTCTCTGCGCATTTTCCCGAGAAGCAATAAGACTAAAAAAATTTAAAAAAATACTATTAGTACTTTGTTAAAGCTATATGTAGTGATGAGAAAATTATCAGGCCATCTCCCTATTTCAGCATACCTAGTTGAAGGGTTCGGATGGGGTTTAACAGTTAACTGACAATTGGTCTAATAAGTAATAGTTAACTGGACAGATAGCTTTAAATTCGTAGTTAACAGTTGAATGGTATTTTATTATTTTGGTTAATATTTTGGTCAGCGAATGTAAAATTATTAACAGTTAACTGACAATTGGCCTAAAAACTGACAATCGGGAACCCCAATCCGCATACCCCATTATTAGGAATATTTTCAAAAATGTGCGATTTCATTCCCAAAAACACTTTACTTGATTCAATGTCTAGTTCTAAAATCGAGCGGCCCTTACATTCGAAGTTACACTGTTGCCACTTTCACTGTATTTCGTCCATCTTTTCCCATCCTGACTGTATTCCAGGAAATAACCGGTAACCCAATCGTTCCAGTTTCTCCGACCTTGGGTACCTATTTTGTTAATAGTTTGAACCTATTCCAGGAAGAAAAAAATAGTTAAATTAAATAACCTTACCGTGCCACCCAAGAACTTCAGCTCCGACACAAATGAACTGACAATGTCAATAGACCTCCTCGGCTCGAGCATAATGTTTTCCCATTTCAGACCACGTGTCTTTCGTGTCGTTAAAATTGCGCTCGCTCTGGGACAGGGTATATGAAATCATGCTCTCTCCTCTCTGGAATCTATTTTTTTGCAATACCGGAACAGGGTATAGCTTTCAGCGATCTTGCTCTGGAACAGGCTATGAATTTCAGCGATTTTACTCTGGAACAGACATGGTCAGGGTTCAGAGGGCTCAGCGGCACATCCCTACCTTAAACGGGCAAGAATACCCCCCCCCCCCCTTCCCGGGTCGTAAGCACAGGGAGCCATGATTTACCTTTCCCAAGTCAACCTGAAGATATTCTGTGTTCTTTTTTTGGGCAGCGCACCAATATTTGCCATTGTGTAGTCGACCAAAATGTGGCGAATCACTCCCACGCGAAGACGAAGCTGTTATCTGTTCATCAGGGATTTCTTGAGTTGACAAACCAAGCGGCATTATGCAATCTATAAGAGACAAAAAATCCTCGAGCTAATTCTTAATGAATGGGAGGACATATATAAATACGAAAATGTTAATGTTTTTTTACAAAAATAACAGCCATTCCAGTTACAATTTTTTTTGGGGATTGAATTGTAGACAGTTGACTCGTATCTACCAATATTTTTCTTGTTGTTGTCGGCCATTTTTCTTACCAATTTCTTATTTGCAAACCAAAATATTTCAGCTGTTTCTGTCAATTATTCTTTCGAGGTTAAAGTGGATAATGGTGTAAAATAAATTAAATGCTGTTTCTTCTTGACAAACACTGTATCTGACCACACTGAACATTGGTTAAGTGAGGTTAAGGTGGATTATGGTGTAAAATAAATTATGGGTATGTCTACTCACCTGGTTTCATAAAGAACAGCTCCAATCTCGTTGCATCGCAGCCGCCATATATCAGTAGCTGGCGGTTGTTACCCGGCGAACCGCCCTTTGGATGGACACATTTACCTGACTTTACATGCTTGAGTGAGTGTTCTGGGGAAACAAAATTTTTTCATTTGCAACGTCAAGTACTATCTAAGAGGGGGAAGTTAGACGACTTTGCTACTTTTTTGGCATCGAGAATAGACATTTCGAAAGGTTAACCAAACTGAGAAAATTAGCCTTCACTGGTGTGATTTTAACTAAGTGTACGTATTACAACAAGCGCAAATGACTGTGAAGCACCTTAAAAGGTTTGTGTATCTGCGTGGGAAATTACATCTGATTCAGTGAGATTTTTTCTTAAACTTAAGATATTACTTACTTGGCGTTCTTATGAATTTGGACCCTTCGTCTGTACAGGAGCTACTTATCACVAGTCTTACACCGTTGCTCGTTCCTCCATTTTCTGGGCACACTCTTCTTCCACTGCTGTGATGCCAAAGGACTCCATTTGCGTCTAATCTGAAGTCCATGTACTTTTCCTTACATAGTCTTCCCGACTTAAAGACAATTTTGCTGTTTTCATGTGGAATCAGCGTTTCATTTTTCGGTACAACGCAGTGGTCGGTGTATGGCTTGATTGGAGTAGGGGTAGTTGGATTGACTGCAGACCGTGGAAAAAGCAGTCAAAATCATGAGGAAAAAAAGAACATAAAGGAAAAGCAGAGCAAGAAGAAAAAAATCATGGAGTTGAAGATGAAGAAAGAGAAAAAAAAGTTGGTAACACTTATGAAGATGAAAAGAAGAAGAAGAAGAAGAATGAAGTTGGTGATAATTATGAAAAAGAAAAGAAGAAGATGATGGTGAAGTTAAAGATGAAGATGATGAACGAGTGAAACTAGAAGATGATAATGATGAAGAAGAAAAAGAAAAAGAGGATGATGATGACGATGATGAAGAAAAAAGAAAATCAAAAGGAGCATAATAACGAGATGACGATAATTATGAGGGGAAAAAAAGGAGAAGAAGAAGATGATGATGCGATGATGAAGAAAAAGAACGCTAACCAAAAGAAAATGCATGAAGCGTTGTTGTTTTGCGCATCGTAATGCAATGCGCAATGACGGTTCACAGTATGACACAGAATGCATACTGACTCTCMGGAGACTTCCTTCCATCATGTTATGATATACTATAACAAGTCGCCTCTTTATAACATCTATGTGTTTTTACCTTCATTAGCGTTACATCCATAGAGCTCAGCTCGCATGCAAATCCACCGATACCAGTACTGCGGGTTTATTCGAACATAACGAGCCTCTATGCGTGGAGACAAGCTTCTCGTCACGACACTGTTTCTATTTGAGTTACCTACAAACAACTGAAGAAAACGTTGATAACAATATTGATTTATTATCAAAACCAAATGCTTTTTGAGTGTCTGGCTATGAGGCGGTCATTCTAATAGTCCTCGTYATAGTTCCCTGCGCCATCTTGAATGACAACCGTACCTGTGCTTCGAAGCGAGATGAACGGCGATCTTGCAATGATAGAGACCTTGTTTAACAACTTGGGCAATAGTTCACATGCCTCTATCATTGCAGGGTCACCGCCGTTCTCGCTTCAATGCACACATACGGTTACCTTTCAAGATGGCGCAGGGAACTGTGTAGGACACTATTGATACGATAAGCTTTTTGTGCAAGGCGTATATTATACTAACCTTTTGGGTTTGGTTACATGGTGTTCCATTTTGAATGTAGCTGTTGGCGGGGCACTGAAATGCAAAATCAGGGATTTAGTTTTAGTATGTAGCAAAATTTTGTATGCTTTAAATATCCATTGGCATAAAAACAAACAAAGTAGAGAGAATTATTTGGTCGCCTTAAATGCTCTTCTACAAAAGTATGATAATAATGAGTAAATAAATAAACGCGGTTCCCCTACAAACGATCCTCCAGCGTGAGACAAATCAATAAGTATATAATTTATTATAATTTCCACGACGAATAATATTTTTCATGAAAAAGCTTTTGTGCGATTGATCTTTCAGGGTCCTTTTTATTACATAGGCCCTATACACTACGCATTCTGGTCTCAGTAGCATCGTTACAAACAAACACCATATTAAGCTTAACAAATAAGCAGGATAAACTTTTTTATCAGCAATATAGGCATGCGTATATACTCACATCTCTGGCATTCCCTGGACAGTACTCGGGTACATCACAGTCTGTTTGGGCAGGTCTACAAAGAGTTCCTTGTCTTTTGTACTTAATAAACATTTAACATAACGAAATGTTAACATCAAATAGATTACGCAATGCAAAGGGACGAACAAAATAATGAATATTTAACACATTTCACATGGTATATCCTTTTATTTACCACTTATTCCGAAAAAAAATTGCTTGACGTTAAAATTAGTTATTGTTAATGAGGGGGTAAAAATATGGCACATTACCTGGCAATCCTTGCAGCAAGAATGATGTAAGTCACTACAAACAGCCGAGGGCTTCAGTTTACATGCATGTGGCTGACAGCAGGGATCTTTAATTTTGCACATCTGAAACGATGAAAATATGATATATTATTTTATTCGTTTCATGGGCCAAATAAAGCACTTTAGGTCCACTGTAGCAACTGTGATATTTTTAACTTCGTCTGTCATGAAAACATTAAAAGTATGAGAAAACCCTCTTATTTATGGTAAAAAAAACCCTGTTATTTATTACCTCTGGAGTTCCACAATCACACTCTTCATCTCCTTCTTGTATTCCATTACCGCACTGAGGGCGCAGCACCTTGAAAAATAAGAGCAAATCCTGGTATTATCAGCGGTCTCACTATTGCGCATGTGCATATGCAAGAGGCCACTGATGAGCATAATCATTCAGTTCTGTTTAATGTTGCAGCCTGTTTGGAGGTCGTTTCTTGCTCCTCTACCAAAACTACTGGAGTAAAAAAGCCGTCTTTTAATTGGCCTAGCATCTCCGACGTTTATTACTCATTCCAGGCAACCATGTCCTTATTTCCATTCAAAGGTTAGTGAGATTTAAAAAAGCATTATTTAGAATTTTAATTAATATTTTACAGGTTTGTCAAAATATTATCTTTAATATATTTGAGTAGTGTCTTTGAATAAACCGGTTTCGCATTCGATGCATATCGCTGTTTTTGAAGACCACAGACTCATCTGCACAGACATAGCCTCGTTTATAAGTCATGCAGCTATTCACAGATACCATTAAAAGTCCGTGGAATTTCAAAACATTGGTATTTCAAGCTTCACATTCTTTGCATTACAGTTGGCTTTTGCGAATAAATTGCTCTTATGAGAGGCCAAGCCTGTGCAGATGAGTCTTTAGTCATAAAACACAGCAGTATTTACCGAATGAGAAAAGGGACTATTCCTTGCCAATGACTGTAACTTACCATTGGTTTGTTGTATAGACATTGGTCATTGATTCGCTTCATAGATTCCAGACTACAATTGGAAAAACCAGGAACTCGGGTTCTGTAAACAAATGTTTGATAATAATCAGTTAAAAAATAGATGGTGTTATTGTACGTCAATGTACGTCTTTATTTATTGGGAAAACTCTAAGATTTTTTGACATGCTTGTAGACGAATATACATCTTTACTTTGGGCGTAATATTCTGCCCATTTCAGACCATATGTCACTCTTTTAAGAATAAGATTCTTTGCTTTAGTTGTGTCCATACCCTTGTATCTTCATTAAACATTAAACAAAGAAATGATACTCTAGGGAATGACACATGGTCTGTAATGGTATATATTCGTATTTTATCGGTCCGCGCGAGTGGAGCACCAACCATACTTAAGGTGGCTCGACCCCCTCACGCTTGACCGCTACCCTACACTTTTGGAACGCTAGTGCATAAACGTCTTTTATCCGACTGCAAATGTTTTTTGCACATAAGTCACATAAAGATTGAATTAATGTTTGATGCAGTTTTTAATGAGATCGGACGTCATAACACGTAATTATGATGAAATATTTGTTTTCGTTTAGAAAATAATTTTAGCCTTGCAGAGCGTTCAACAATAAAATGCTTCGTACCACATAATTATATACTAGATGCCTCCATTTGTAGGGATTTTTGAAAAAATCTATCTAGCTAATAATGAGATATTTGAGATTATTTGAATATAGTGCATAATCTACTTCAAAACTAAACAATGGATTTCATACGGCCGAAATTAATATTTCAGAGCTATATATTCACATAAGTCATTGCTCATTTAGTTTTACTCTGTATCTAGTTTTAAAAGGAACATTTTGAAGGTA